CAATTTTTAAACCCTGAATCAGATTAGATTAAATCTTGTCTGTCCGTGTACATCCGCCGATCGTTCACCTGCCATTGTGCTGTTTATCTCAAACACACACACTTTGTGTAGGAGAGTGTTCAAATCTACCATGATGTTATTTTCAGCCTCTACTTTACTCTCGGACAAATTAAACGAGGTCATGTTGAAGGAGTAGAAATAGAGATCTTGTGGATGAATGAATGAGAGAGCGAAAGTTTATTGCCTGAATGCGACTGATAAAGAATTGCACTCTTCAGTGAGAGATTAATCAGTTCAAAGGCAGAGTCAACGAGAGGGTTAGGATGATGTAACAACGATCGTGAACGTGCACGGAGGGTGGAGATTGAATGCAAAAAGAGTTCAGTCTAAACCTGACCTTAAAGCCGTTATTTTGTAGCTCAAAATGTTCGGTTTAATCAATTAACCTCATTATTAAGAAAGATTGTTGATTAAACCGCTTGAAGAAAAGGGGAATAGAAATGCTCAATATCCAAAGCATCACTTACAATTTCATGCAGCAATAACAACAGCTGAACTGCAAGAGGCAGGGTTAGGCTCCAACGCATAATAAGGCTTAAACGCAAGGACTACCAGGACTACGTCAGCCATGACTCCATTCCGTTCCAAGCACGGGTGGCTTTAAACGACGGGAGATTAAAACAAGGAAGTTGGCCCCGTTGGAAAAACTGGTTGAGCAACAAGCATTTCTTAAACCAATGAGCTACCCGTATGGGATCCGAAACACGGTAGACGTTGAGATGGAGGCTAGCATGCAACATGGAAAACCACGATAGATATAGATCTGTTTTCGGAGTGATATATTGCTTTCTAAGGTACAGTAACCGGCAGCTAAGGCAAGCGTTGAAAAGCTGCGGATACAGCGGGCATCACAAACAAGAGACGTTCCGTTTAGACGAATGGCTCAAAAACTGATGATCTCAAAAAACGCCATACAATTCGACAATCGATTCTGTTCTCTTTGACATTACTCAGCGCCTTCAGTATTATCTGATTTCTCTGTTGATCTTCGTTCTCGAAATTTCTATCACCAGAAGAGATCGCATCTGATATACACCAGTCATCAGGTGAATCAATCATCCAGTGATTGGATACTATCATCCCACATACTCCCGCTTCACGTCAATGATAATAACGACTAAAAGGCAACCGTACGCGCCGGAAATGCCGGGTTCGAATCCTCTTAAGGATATACGTTTGTCTACACCGTGAATTTCTTTCAGTATGATGTTAACGCCGCGTTTTTACGACGCAACTGGTCGAGAAACGGGCAGTAAGTCGGTGACATGCGAAAAAAATAGGGACAGCGCGGTACTCTGGTCTGGTCACGTGAAATTGGACGAGGAGTACAACCGTTGTTGATCGGTGCGAACGCCTCTGATGCAAAATGCTTTTCACCCTGACCTACATGACAGGTGAATATCCACGAGAAACGTCGATTTAGATTTCCATTTTCAGTAAACGATGAAGGTTCATCATGTTATTGTACTTTACACTGATCCGCATAAGGGAACCAAGCAAGCCCTAATAAGAAATTTTTCGCACAATGTCCAGTTTTACCTCGCATCACGTCACCGACCGAATAAATCAGCTAAGATTTCTACAGAACTCCATGAACTAAAACAGCAACAAAGCGTGCTCCTTAAGAGAGATCAATATTTTCACGGTAACAAACGTTTTTCTGCCTTTTTACATTCCAATAGAATGTGCAAATTTGCACCAAATGGAGAGGAGCTGTCATCATTGTTATTATCTCTTCTACTTCTTCATAATACATTTTACACTTTCCCCCTAATAATTATCAAACGCAAATTCCGTCAGATAGAGACTAACTGCGATAAAAATTTTATGCTTAATGCTCAGCTCGCCTGTGCGCTTAATCCACCGCTTCGCTTGAACAAACGCTATGCTCTCGGACCGGTGTAAATTTCAGCCGCCCAGAAAAAATGAAAATGTTACGAATAAAACAACCCTTTAGCCAGCTATTCGTCATTAGTATGTATTTCGTCGTGAACTTTAATAAAATTTTAACAAAATCCTATGCTTCGAAATCCAAGCTCTCGCTTGGAACAAACAAAGGCCTCATTACGTAGCCAGCGCTTATTAAGTAGCGTTATGATTCAATAATTGATCTGCAGGTCTTTCTAGAAGATTCTTAGCAACACTGTGGGAACTTGTGTCACCTGGCACGCTCAAGGTGGTGGCAGCGGCACAGTGAAGAAGGGGGTTTCGACCTCGGGACGTGTGAGTTCCGGGAAAAGACTAAATTCGCCTAAATCAGAAATTTTCTAGAGCAAGAAATTAATCAATCGTTGCTTCAATGCAACGATTCAGTGCAGCAAATCGTCATCTCCAGCGATGACATCATCCGGTGAAAGTTAAACAGGACAACCCTAGCTGCGAGCGTTTTTGTAAACCACTTCAATGCCGAGCTGAGAAACAAATAAGCATTTAAATAAAACTTTTAATGCCTGTCAGGTCGGTGACAGTTGTTCTATGGATAGAGCGAGAACGATAGTTGAAACGCGTACAGCAGTGTTGGCTTCAATGGGCACGTAACATAAAATGGCAGGATGGCGTAACAGATGACTCCATTCTCTTCTGACCTCAATTGATACGACGATTAAGAAAATGAGGTTGGCTCAGATTAGATGAGCATAAACGATTTACTTTGGCCAACAAGTTTCTCGTATGGTACCCAAGGTCCACCGGAAGGCAAGCGCACAACACAAAAGAACAACGTAGGGGCAGACCTGCATTCGTGGTCGAATATTTTCTTCTATGATGCAGAAATTGGTAACTTATAGCAAGTGTTGTAAAGCTGGAAGATACTGTGGAAATCACAAATGAGAGACGTTCTGCTCATACAAACGGCTAGACAGGATGACGTTCTGCTGTATTCATACTAGAATGGGTGAGAACTGCCAAGCACCTCTTTAGGCTGCTGACTTTTCAGTGTACCGCGTAACACAAAAATTCGTCTATTTAAAACTGATATTAAGTTTATCGAAATATAAATATTCAGTTTTGGCATTTTGTTTATTTAAAGTTGTACATATTTAAAACTGTCCAATTTCATTTATATACTGTTTGCAGTCGAACTAGCATTTATTTCATTCTGCCATTTTTCGTAGCAGAATGCGTAACACTGAACTGAGCTGACCTGTTGATAACGAAGAAGCAACCACTGACTGCCTTTTAAAATCGCTGAATTGTCATATTTTAAGAAACGTGCAAAAATGGCCATACCACAAAAGTACAGCGAAAAGACTAGCGAAGGGAAGGCCGGAAAAGGAATGAGTATTATATTTCGAAAGGCTGTAGAACTTGCATCAAGGAAATCAACCGCCTGTCAACACGACTGTTTCTTTCACTCACTGATGATACGTCAAACAAAGTTCCCTATAAATTCTGTAGACACTCTTTTAATTCCCTTACATTTTAATGACAGACACTGTTTATACCGACATTGTTCCTTAGAGCTTATGAGAAGCAGATTTTCATTTCGACGATTTCAAGCCAAAATTGGCACCAACGATGCGGCCCTAAAACCGAAGACCAGCTCAGCATACAGCTTATTAGGTGTTGCAAAAACAGTTAAGAAATCGCCGCGCCTCTTATCACCATTTATCATTGCTTCCTGGCTTGTGCAAGGTCTAATAATATTACATCAGCTAGACTTCAGTTGTGCTTTGTCGATAAATACGGCCCAGCTTAGTCGCAGTCAATTCACCTCTGATATTATTTAACCATGCAGTTTTTCACTTGCTTCATGGCCTTTTCTACAGTCGGTTCGGCTCACTACGACTCATGGCACTGACAAGCTGACCGTCGTTCCGTCGTAGTGAATGGAAAGAATATGAGAGTTTCGTTTTATTTATTTCGCCCTGTTCGATATGTTTTACTTGTGCTTTTATCCGCACCGATCTTCATTTTGGTAAGGGTCCGCGCTGCCCAGGTGTGCTGGTCCAATACCTGCCAGATACAGTGACGTACTGACAGTATTTAATAAGTTTTGCTGTAAAATGTTATAAGCAATTCGAGCTTTCGCAATTTCGAACGACGCTGTTGTTAACCGACCGAATTTTAGTCAGATTCTTGGGTATTTCTTCCGTCGACTTCGTCATTAGCCGTCAAGGTATAATAGCAATGAAACAATGGTCAAAAATTCGATCGCTAATTCTGTCGATGTGAAAAG